GCAACAACAGCAACAACAGCAACAACAATGAGAGCCAGTTTGGCCTAGTGGTGAAGGCACCGGCCTAGAAAGCAGGAGACGGCAAGTTCTAGTCCCGCCTTAGGCAGGAAAGCCGGCTGGGTGACTTTGGGCCGGTCGCTCTCCCTCAGCCCAGCTCACCTCACAGGGTTGTCGTTGTGGGGGAAATAGGAGGAGGAAGGAGTATTAGGTATGTTCGCCACCTTGAGTTATTTATAAAAATAATAAAGGCGGGATAAAAAAAAATGGGCTGAATGAGGGAAAACAATCTGAAGTTAAATCTAGACAAGACAGCATGGCTACTGGGCTCAGGGGTTGAGGTTAAGCTTATTTCAGGTGGGTTGCATTTGCTGAGAACGCAGCAGCTCACCTCCTTCATGCGCCATTGAAATTAAATCTATAGACAGCAACTGTGACAATTGCGATGCACTAGCTCCTGAGCTGGTCAGAGCTGACAAGGGATCGCTCATATCCTGACTACTGCAATCCAGTCTACATGGACCTATTTTGGAAAACTGCTGCAAAATATTGCAATTAATCTAACCAACGTGAGGTTTGGGGATCATATTATAGCTGTACTGGAAGATCTGCACTGATGACCTATTGCTTACTAGGCAGAGTTTAAAGTATTGGTATTACACTTCAAAGCTTTGGGCCTATGAGATCACATATTCTGTTACAAATATGTGCAGCTGTTGTGTGCAGGAGGGGACCTTTTGAAGATGTTCCTGCTGTCAGAAGTCCAACTTTGTGGCACAGGGAAGAGCTTTCTGCACTGCTCCCAACTCCTTTGGGAGTTGCATTTAGCCCCTGCCATCATCATTCAGAAAATCTGTAGAGATGTATCTTTTTTGCCAGGCTTCTAATCATTGATTGGTTTTAGCATTTTAACTTATGTACTTAATGAATTTTGTTCGTTATCTTGAGTATTTGCTAGAGTAGAAAATCAGGTTATAAATCACACAGTAACACAAGGGAAAAGTGAAAGAAAGGACAGATGCTACTAAGGATTAACTAGATTTTATTTCCAACCAAAAATTTTAAATTAAGCAGCTTTCTGCAAAGAGAGCCATACCAAGAGAGCTGCAAACTTTATTATAAACTTACTTCTTTTCACTGTATTTTTCACAATTTGGATTGTGAAAAATGTGTTACACTTCTATTTTATCCTTCCAAATGCTTTTTACCATGTAAATCCTAATCGTGCTTTAGTATGATGTTCATTTAATAGCTTCATTTCTTGAGCTGTTTCACCTAGGTATGGTGGCTTACTAGCATCCTTCTCACAAAAGTGATGGCATTCATTATAAGCTGGACCACTGAATTTAGGAATGCCTTCATGTAGTGTTCTGAGAAGTGGGTAAAGTTTCTGAGTAGTCTTGGACTGTTCATCAATTATTTTATTTGCATATTTCTGGAACTCCTGCTCCTTGTACAATGCAATAAGTTCTTTTTGTTTAACGTATTCAGTATCCTGCTGCTTCTCACTCTCTTCTCGTGCCATTTTTTCAGCCTGTATTGGGAAAAATTAATTTGAAAAATGTATACTGTATATGTGTGCTGATCCTTGTGGGAATCCTGTTTTTCTTTGAACCCAAACCCAATAAACCACTACCGTACAAAAAATTAAGCAAAATCCTCAATTTGCATATCAAACATATACAATTCAAGTGCAATTCACATTCTGATAAATACATTTGCTTTTAAGGATTTTGAGATTAGTTCTATTAAAAAGCATTCCTGCACAAATGAACGGAATACAGTTTTTTCAAAATAGCAAATATTAAACTGCTAGTTCTTGATGTGTTTCTGGATGCAAAAGGTGAGAAATGAAAGCTTCTGGATTTAGGTCTTATGGTTTACTAGCTGCAATATAAGACTGACATTTATATCACAAGTTCATCCAAAATTGATTTCTTATGGACTGCCAATAAGACTGCAAGCACTGTTAGTTTTAATAATGGAAATGCCTTGCTATGATTTTTTAAAATCTCCCCAGCAAGATGATTAAAATATAATTTAAATGTTACTTTAAAAAGTAATAGATAAATCCACATAGTAACAAAAAATAAAAATTTACCACTATCTGGAAATGAAGTATGAATAATCTCTAAACATTTGTGGTGCTGTAAAAGAGAGTTCTGCAAAAAATTATTTCTGCAAACGCTTTCTGTTCCAATATGCAGATTTAAGCCTTGTTCTACTGCATTGTACTAACAAAGATTCTGATCTTTTATAGTTTTAATGTTCTCTGACAGGATGGGATGCTCCTTTCCTTAATGTGTTTGCACATTTCAAATTAGAAATAAAACTGTCCCTGAAATGATACCCTGATACAGAAGTGAGGTTTCCTCTTACCCTCCTAGGACTGAACAGAAATTTTACAGGTTGAAATACTTTCCAGCTATAATAACGTGTATACTTACTATCTGCATGACATGGGTTTCTTGCAATTTTAAGTTTGCACAATGATTTCTATGTTTCTTATCCTTCTCCAGTTCTTGATAGATCCGGTCTGCTTCTATCAGTTCCCGAAGTATTTTTTCACCTTCCAACCTCTCCTGTTTTTCCTTCTCTTCTTTCATTTTTATCTAGAATAATACAATCTTATATGTATCCCATAATAATGAAATCTAAAATCTGATGACTACATGACCTGCTACAAAATAATTTAGAGTTGTCCTGATCTTACTGTAAAATCTGGGGCAACCCATTCCTAAGTACTTCTATTTGAAAGGAAACCCCACTTGTTTCCATTAAACCTGCTCCATACAAGTTGCTCGGAAGGGCAGGTCACTGTACACTCGAAAGAGTCTAATTTTAGAAGCTGACTACTATGAAATAGAGGAACATGTCAGAAAAAATACAAGCTATATAGATTTTTTTTTCCTTACCACATTGATTCTGTGTTCTGCAATGGATTTCAGATCAGCCTGCAACTTTTCTTCTTTAGCTTTGAGCTCCCTAGCACGCTCCTCTTCTGCCTCTGCAATTTCTCTAGCGATACGCTCATCTTCATCATCTGTCTTCTTTTTCATTCGCGCTAAGAGGCGGTTAGTAATCCTTTCCCTCTGCTCTTCCATTAATCTGTAATAGTTCAGTACTTACTACCTTGTATGCTAGCATGGTCTGAAGTATGCCTTAATTAGATTCCGCACTGGACATAAGGCACTGATTGTGTCTTTCTGTTAGAAAAGGGAAGCCCCATTTGGCACAAACAGCTCCTGTCTCTTCCAAGAAATAGGAGTACACAAGAACATCATCCTGAGGATGACAATAAGGATGAACAGAAATTTTTCACCCATCAGTATAGAAGAATGATGGGAGGAGTTTCTGAAGTGCAGCCCTTTATCTCCAAAGCACAATCTCTTCTGTGAGTGGCTTGGCAAAGAAAAGAGTGCTGGCTTATTGTTACAGGAGTTATATCAAGACAAATATCTCCAGTTTTAATCCAGAAATAAACTGCTGCTCCTATGCAAAAACATGAAATGGAGCTGTGGAGTGCTTTGGATTTGAATCAGAAGAGATGCTTTGGAATATATGAATGTAGCATCTGTCTGCAACTCATTAAAGCAGTCATGTCTGTTTTCAGGACTGCACAATTGCAATCCTGGAAATTGTAATGTATCACAGACAGGGCATTCCTGTGTGCTCTGAAGCATGCATAGTCCTGATAGAAGAAACTGAATTGACAGAGTACATAATTCATAGGAAAAAACTGCTCAGAAGTACAGTGGAACCTCGGTTTACGAACTTAATTCGTTCCGTGACTCTGGCCACAACCCGAATTGGTTGCAACCCGA